TGTGTGTGTGTGTGTGTGTGTGTGTGTGTGTGTGTGTGTGTGTGTGTATCTTTTTCCCTTCCTCATAACCTGTCTTCTCCTCTTTTCTGTACAGCACTGTGTTTCATAGACTGTTTTCCTTTTCTTTTTTTTCTTAAACTCTTGTCCAGCCCTCAACATTAATGTATAAATAAATAAAGTTTTGTTGTTGTTTTTTTTTAAGCTGTTACTGTGTTGTTTGGCTCTGTAGAGGCAGGATGGGGAACTAAGGAGCTGTAAGCTGAGCCTCGTCCTAGAGGAAACAATTCCCCAGGGTCTGGGCTAGTCTCTCTAGCAAGCAGTGTACAGTGGCAGAGCTAGGGAAGACATTACAACATAAGCCATGGAATGTTTTGAATTAGAAAGAATCCTGGAACTGGATCAGCTCATCCAAACCAATCCTTTACCATAGATGGGGAAAGTGAAAACTAGACATAGCTAAATCAAGGGACCTAGAACCTGAGTCCTCTACTATGTAGTTTGTTTCTTCACTATTATCTTGCCTCCCAGCTGTTCTGTCTTTGTAGCTACACTTCGGCCTCACTCTTGGGGTAAGAGAGTTATTTCTCTCTTCTAATGCCTCCCTGGTCATCACACATCCTGCTGGGATTTGAACTGGGAAAGAACGTGACTTAGCCTTACATTGAAAGTGGTTCCCCTGGTGTAGAAGATCTACTGACCTCTCAAGGGGAGGGGGGGAGATGTCCCTGCACTAGCCCTAGATTCCTTCATGCCACTATGCAATGAGATTGAAGTCTGAATGGAGCCTGGCCACAGCATCCCCGAGGACTCCTCCCAGCCGAGCCCTCAAGGCTAGGTTCTTCAGCTCCAGGACCACCCACTGTGGCCTCCACACTCCACACAGGTACATTGACTTTGGTCTCCATCTCCACGAGCATCTCTTCCAGGCGTTGCCCCCATTGGGCCAGCTCTTCAGGCAGCTCCCTAGCTCTTTCGGAGGCCTTCCCACTGGGCCGTCTCAGGCTCCATCCCTTGGGCCCAAAGGATGTAACTCCAGTGTTGACCAACAGGGTCCCTGAGGCCAGAGATGGCAAGGGGAAAAGCTGGCTGAGGTCATGGGCCCGACCCAGATCCTGCAGGAAAATTTCCAGGGCAGACAGACAGAGCACCCAGATCCTCTCCAGCTCCATCTTCACCTCTTCTTCCTGCGTGCCCCCTGGTTCTGCAAGCTCGGCCAAAAGCTGGTTCCGTAGTCCTGGTGGGGGGACGGGAAAGAAAGGGCAAACAGCAGGGGCAGCCGCAGTCAGGGAAGGGGAGGGCAGGCAGGGGGTTACATAGATCTCAGTAGCTACAGTGAGAACTTTAAAAGCTCAGAACCTCACTTTCAGAGGCTGAAATGATCCTAAGGTCCTATGATCTGGGGAACGGTCTGCAAGTGCGACTAGGTATCCTAAGAGGGCCACTAAGTCTCCCCTCTTTTTACGAAGCAAAAGCCAGGCAACAAAGCAGCAGAGTCGAAACTCGAACCCAGGGTCTATTCCAAACGCAGGGCCCTTCCCACTCGGTGGCTTGGAAGCCCCTGGCCCGCCCGCTCCTGCCCCTTCTGTCCGCCCCCGTGCCCTGTCTGCTCACCCAGACTCAGCTCGAAGCCCCTGCGGCCGCTCTCCTCCAGAGCTCGGCGCAGCCTCCTCCCGTCCGCCGAGCTGCCCACTCCCAACACCAACTGCCTGTAGCTCGCAGTGAACCTGTTGAGCGCTTCGTACGCCGCCCTGCACTCGGCCACAGGCTCCCGGGCTTCCCGCGCCCTCTCCCCCGGCCCAGCGCCCCGCATGCCTCCCTCGATTTGGGCGATCTTGGCCTTGGCCTCAGTCTGGAGTCCCAAAGCCCAGTCCTCTCTCGCTTCCAGCCTCCGCCCTTGCCAGCGGCCAGCCCCTTCCCCACCCCTCCTGGATCTGGAGAAGGCGGAGACAGCCAGAAAGCGCCGACCCACCAGCTCCCTCTACCCTAGCTGCATCGTCTGGCTAGCCTGCTTTCCCCTTCTTCCTCCTTCTCGCTACCCCCGGCTCTCCTGGGTTTGATCCCCGCCTCTCACACTAACTGTGTGACCACAAGCTAAGCACAGACCGAGCCTTCGGTCTATAGCCAGCCCTCCCCCCACAACCCCCACCGACCTGAACCAGACTGCCCTTAACGAGCTACTGACCAGTGAGTATCTAGACCTTATATGAAGACCTTCAGAATGGAGGATAACTCCTTATCTCCTGAGATGGCCCATTCCACTTGGGAAAGCCCAAGGTCACACTCCAGCTGTAATTGTTCAGATTTTTTTCCCCTCACATCAAACCTAAATTGCAATAGCTAACATTTCTATTTAGAAACAAAGCCTTTAAGATTTGCAAAGGACTTTACATTATCCTCACCACAACCCTGTGACCCTGGGGTGCTATTATCCCCATTTGGTCAATGAGCAAACTGAAGCAGAGAGAGATTAAGTGACTGGCCCAGGGTCCAAGAATTTTGATTTAGATAAACCCAGTATTCTCTAGGCCTAGGTGGTGGAGCAGCACAGACCCCGGAGGCCCACTCCATTTGAAATCTTTTTTCCCTTTATTACTGACATTTACACATTCCTGGCCCAGGAAAGGGAGGGCAAGGGAGGGAGTGGAGAGGGAATATCACATAAGGGAGGGAATAGGGCAGCAGAAGACAATGGGGAGGGATGAACAGTCCTGAATGATCTCAGGGAGATGGGAGCCAGTTGAATCTCAGATTGAACCCTTGTGGGACAGGGCAGGGTGGGGCAAAACAAGACTGAGCTGTGCTGGATTCTTACTGCACACCCTCCATCATCTTCAGGAACTCTGCAAGAAGGAAGGGGAGAGAAGAGGAATCAGAAAAGGTATGGGTGGGACCACTGAGTTAGGGGGAAAGGCCACAGACCTGGACTGCTCTGAGCACACAGCACTGGCTTGCCCAGGGTTATTGATTCATATGGTTTAGACCTGGAAAGGAGCTCAGAAACAAAGGACTCTAAGTCCTTCAATTTATAGAAAAACTGAGACCAGAGAGGGCAAGTGATTTGCTTTAGGGTTCTTAGATAGTAAGTGGCAGTGCCCAGCTCAGGCTTACATAATCTGACTTCAAATGCAATACCCTTCACTACACCCCTCAGGGACCCACATCTAGACTGGAAGCTTCTTGAGGGACAGGACTATTTTCATCTTTGTATCTGTGCCTCAGAACAAAGTCTCATCCTCCCTGCCTTAGTAACTTCTTAGTGAAAACATCTGCTTGTTGATGTATATATGTTACAGTATATCACAGCTGGAAGGGACCTTAGAAATGAAGTCAAACCCCTCATTGTACAGAAAACAAAAATGGGCCTGAAGAAAGAAAATTACTCATCCAAGGCTACGCAGCAAGTTGGGGGCCTCCCACTTGCTAGGATCGGAAGCAGGGTCTTGGAGCTCCCCATCTCCCGACCCTGACCCTCTCTTCAGAACATGCCTATTCAATTCCTCGCCTTCCCTCACTCCCTCCCCACTGTACCCGTGCTCAGCCCCCCCCACCTGCCCCTCACCATCAAAGTCAATGCGGCCATCGTTGTTCTTGTCTCCATCTTTCATTAAAGATTCGATCTCTTCATCTGTCACATGCTCTCCTGAAGCTCGGAAGAGCTCCACTAGCTCCTCAGCATCAATATAGCCATCAGCATTCCTTGGGGGAGGGGAGGGGAGGGGGAGAAAAGGGGGAAGAGACCAGGTGTTCTTCAGGTAGCCCCTCAAGAGACTGACACAAGGACTGCCCCACATGCAGCCTTGCAATGAACCAAAGGAACCAGTGCTAAAAGGGTCCTTAAAGATCATTTAGTTCACAGCCTCCAAGGCCTGGGACCCAGGGCTACTGAGCCCCCTTTTCCCACTTCAGCTTACTCTACTTCCTCTCCAGCCCCTTCTTCTCCCCACCCACTTGCCCGGCCCCCACACATACATCTTCCCCAGCCGCCCCACTAGGGCTGAGTCTGAACTTTAAGATCCTTGGAGCGGCTCATCTCCACTCCCTCGCCTCACTAACTCTGTCCCAGGGAATCATGGCCCAGTGGGCACCAGGCCTGACCTGTCAAAGATACGGAAACATTCAGCCAGCTCCTCCTCAGTCTTTCCTTTCGCATCCTCCTTCATCTGTCTCACCATCATGACCAAGAACTCTTCAAAGTCGATGGTGCCACTGCCTGGGTTTGGGAGAGTGAGCGTCAGAGACCTGCCCAAATGCAGTCACCCACTCCTCATACCTCCGGGGAGATCCCCCGCTCACCATCTTCATCCACCTCCTCTATGATGGCATCCAGCTCTTCTTTGGTGGGCGTCTGGCCCAACATCCGCATCACTGTGCCCAGTTCCTTGGTGCTGATGTCACCACCACCATCAGCATCAAACATGTCAAAGGCAGCTTTGAACTCTGAGAGGAAGGGTGGCAGAATAACAAGGAGGATCTGTTAACCTTGAGGACTTGCATGGCCATAAGTTCACTCCTAGCCAAGAACAGTTCCTTCCACTGCCCACCTCCCAAAATACACACTCACCAGCGATCATTTCCTCGCTGAGGAAGGACCGGGCTTCCGCCTGCTGGTCCGTCTGCAAGATACAAGAGAAGTCAGGTACCAGGCCTCAGAGAAAAAGAGGAAGAAGAAAGGTAAAGGGGGACCCCCAGGAGAAGGGCTAGGCTGTGGGGAGCCAAGAGTTCCTCTCACTGTTGAACCTATGTTCAGATCCCTATTTTACTACTCATGTAACCTTGGGCAGGTCATTCACTTTTCTGGGTCCCTATTTCCCTGTCAGGAAAATAGGGGACTGGACTAGATGGTCTCTAAAGGTTCTTTCTAGATCTAAACTTTATGACCCTATGAGTTTCTGTGTCCCCCAAAATCACCATCTAGTGGCCAACGATAAATTTCTTCTTACTTAGTAGTTAGATCAAGTCCTTAGATGACAGATATAGAATCTCTGAACTCAAAGTCTTCTTGGTTTGGTAGCCTCTGACATCTTGTTCTACCACGTCTTTAGTTCTGGGTTGTGAGGAAGCTGTATCAAAATTCACCATCACTACCCCTCCCCCAATACTAATGCTATTTCAAACCTAGGCTTCCTAGGGAGTCGATCTAGGAAAGGACACATAGGGTATCCTCTTCATGGGGGCCAGCCAAGCAATACCATCCCTGTTCCTTAATACAGCAGACCATAGACAGAGGACTAACTGATGGTCTCATCCCTACTACTTCCTCATTCATCAGGTTGAGGACAACGGGCCCTCCACAGAGAGCGGTATAGATTAGAACTGACAGTGGAGATGAGAGATCTCAGCCACCAACTGTTGGAAAGAATGACAGAATATTGGAGATGAAAGGGCCCTAAGAGATCATTTAATCCAACCCCATTATTTTAGAGAAGAGGAAATTGAGGACCTGAGGAATTAAGTGATTTGCCCAAAGTCAAAGGGAAGGATGTGGAAGAGCTGGAATATGAACCCAGAACTTCTGACTTCAGTACACCATCCACTACCCCATTCTGCCTTAATGGAGTATAACTGGGTAAAATGCTTAACCTCTCTGGGCCTCAGACAATTTCTCTGCCAAATGGGGGTAATCACATGTCCCTGCCAGGGCTTTTGTGAGGCAGTGTAATCTACTGGGAAAAGTCTCAGATTAGGAGTCTGGAGACATGAGTGTGAGTTCTAGCACTGCCATTGACTTCATGTGGTACTGTAGGCAAGTTACTTCCCTTCTCTGGGCCTCAGTTTCTTCATCAATAAAAATTAAGGGGTTGATCTCCAAAGCCCCTTCTAGTTCCAGGAATTTATTAATTTATTCCCATTGCTCAATAAAGGGATTTGAGAAGTCTAAGGCTAAGGCCTAAACTCAGAATCTCCACAGGCCTGAGCATGAGGGATCATAGGACCCCTTCCCATCTCTCCACATCCCCTCCCCCCTGCCATGTCCCACCCCAGGCCTTGGCTATTCTTAGGCTGAGGCTGTAAGAACAGCTGGGCCCAGGCTCCAGTTACTCCTCAAAGAAGAGCTAGGAGGACAAGGAGGGAGGAGCTGGGGAGTTGGGGGCTGGGGGGGGGCAGGGGGAAGTGAGGTATTGAAGACTAAAGAATGCCTCTTCCCTCAAAGGCCTGTAGAATTTAGAGCTGAAAAAAACCATAAAGTCCAACTAAGCCCAATACTTGAGTCCCCCATTTTGTAGATTAGGAAGAAACTGAGACCCAACAGGAACAAGCAGTGATGAAATTGATCCCAGGCCCCTTCATCTAAGTCTGGTATTCTTCTCACTCTACCACAAGCTGTGCCTTTTCATACCCCAGAGCCCCTGCTCAAGGGCCAAGGGAGCCCCTCTGTCTCTGGCTCCTTCTACCTTTTCCTTGGCACTCCCTCTGCCCTCCAGGCTCAGTTGTAAGATGACCCAAAGTCTTTGAGATTCCTTGAACAAAAATAGTAAAAGCCAGAGAGGGAGGCACTTGGGGCAGAGAAACCCCCTGTTGCCTGGTGCCCCAAAAAGGCAGAAGAGGGCAGATGCTCTAAGTCCTAAATGCCCAGGAGCCTCTTTTCTCTGCAGTCAAAGGAGACCAAGATGACATTAGCCTTTCACTCCAAGAAAACTTCCAGAGAGAGAATCATGGGCTTGTAAAGGGAAAGGAACTGAGAGTCCTACAGTCCAATGCCTGAATTTTTCAGGTGAGAAAACTGAAGCCCAGGGAGGCTCCATTACTTAGCCAAGGTCACTCACATTGTAGATGCCAAAGCTGGAAGATGAACTTATGTTCCTCAATTCTAATTCCAGCAATTCTTACCACACTATACTACTTCCGTGTTGGGGAGGGCAGGTGAGAGTTGGAGACACTTCAGAGAAATTGCTCCTTCTCCCTGAATGGCCATGTTCCTTACAGCTTCAATAATCCATGAGGCTTAGAGCTAGAAAGGACCTTAGAAAGACTGTCTTCTCATTTTACAGTTGAAGAAAGAGGTTAAATGACTTGGGTTGGGGGAGAGGGAGAGGGGGTAAAGGCATAGTAAGTTGGTGACTAAGTCAAGACTCATAACCCATATTCTAAATTTGTGTTTTCCTCTACCCCATATCGCCCCTCATCTGGGCCAGGGACCTCTGGTTGCCTGGGCATCCTGGCCTCTTTGGGAGCCATGAAAGTCCAGGGAGAGGGAGATAAGGCTCAGTTTTCCCCTCAGAATTTCTGGGGGAGGGTGAAGATCTCAGGGTGGATGGGAAAGGGAGGCCCACTTACCATGGTGACCGGTCACACTATCCCCTGCTGCAGTCAGTCCCAACTCCTCTGCACTCCACACCCAAAGGCTCCCTACCACCCCAGTCCCCAATATTTGTAGGGGCTACTGCTTTTCCTCCCTCCCCCGTTTCCTGGGATTGGACACCCTTGTACCCCAGCCTTCCCCAATCCAATTAGCTCCCAGAGCTCTGTTGCATCTGCCCCTCCCCAAGTCTGATCCCATTACCTAATTTAGCCAAGGCGCCCTGGGTAAACTTAAACCTTGAAGCAGGTGCCTGCCTTGATGTTCCAAGACCCTTATGGGGAGGCCCCACCCTCCTCCCACTCAGGGAGCCTTTACACTGGACCCCCGACCTGTCTCAAGCTGGGTTATAACAAGCAGTGAGAAGGACCTGACTATGGCTAGACAGAGGAATAAGGCAGTGACAAAAAGAACTTTGCCCTAGAAAGAGAAGGTAAAGGACACCAGACGCAGGGGAGCCTTCTCTTTTGCTTGAATGGAAGTATATTGTTGGCTTCTCTGGACACTAGTGACATCTGGTAGTTTTTAGGGGGCAGTTGGGGAGTGAGACTCTAAAATTATAGAATGGTAGAGATAAAAGGAACCTTCAGCACATCAGAATGGAAAGCACAGTAGAGAACAGAACAACAAATGTAAGAGCTGGTTTTTTATTTTAGATTTTAGATTTAGAGCTCAGAGATCATTTAGTCCAACTCTCTTCATTTTACACTGGAGAAAATTGAAACCCAAAAAGAGGAGATCCCCTCTTCTCCCAGACCACACATGGAGCTAAGTGGGTGTCAGAAGTCAGTCCTGCCCTAGTCTGAGAGCCAGTGAGCAGCCCTGACAATTTCCTGCTTATCCCCCATAGGAGACTAGAAAATAGCAAGCCTCCAGTATTGGGAGACATGTCCCATCCCCCCTCACCCTTGACCCCCACCTGGGCGGGGCACAAGACAGATGGAGAGAAGAATGAAGAGGATCAAGAGAGCCCCAGAAAGCAGCTGAGCAGAGGGGATGAGGAGATGTGGGGGAGGGATCCAGAGCACTAAAATGCTAAGGAGAGGTCAGGATGGACAGCAGCAAATGGCACTGGCTTCTTCCCCTATATATAGACATTCCCAAGAAAAGCATGAGCAGTCAAGCCAGACTAAATAAGGCATCGGCCAGGCTGGGGCAGAGGGAAGGGGCCGGGGTAAGTTCCTGTTTGGAACCATTTACACCTTGGGAAAGCCAAGGCCCAGAAAGGATCTTTAGAGTGTCCACAAGGACAGGGGCAAAGGTCCTGGAGCACAAAGACCATCATCTCATTTTGCATTCTTACAGTGTTCTCTGGCTTAGGATGCACTTTCCTCACAACAGCCGTATGAAGCAGGTAGTATGCATATGTATTATCCCCATTTTATAGATGAGGAAACAGGCCCAGAGATAGGAAGCAACTTGCCTGATGTCCCACAGCAAGCTAGGACTAGATTCTAGGTCAAATGAGTCCTGTTGTTATAGTTCAGTTGTTTTCAGTTGTGTCTGACTCTTCATGACCCTATTTGGGGTTTTCTTGGCAGAGATACTGGAGTGGTTTGTCATTTCCTTCTCCAGCTCATTTTACAGATGAGGAAACTGAAGCAAACAGGGTTGAGTGACCTGCCTAGGGTCACATAGCTAGTAAACAAGGCCAGATTTGAACCCATGTCTTCCTGACTGGTGCCACTGTGCCACCTAGCTCCCCAAGAAGTTGGATTCCAAGTCCAGTCTTCATTTATTGATTCAATAAGTATTTCTTGTATACCTGATATATGCTCAGCCCAGTACCCAGTGCTCAGCTATGCTACAGAGGATAACAAAGTGTAAGATATGGTGCCCTACCCCTTCAGGGACCTCACAGCCCAGATCTAAAGAAAACCATACTGATGATGAATAATGATCACGATAAAGAAAGACTGACATTTTAGTAGTGTGAGCCCAAATCAGCTTATATGCTGCCTTCTCTTAGCCTACAGAATACATATACATCTATACATACATATATATATATTACATGTTGTATTATCTAGTGTGCAATATATCTGAATTGCCCACTAGGTGGTGCTTTCCCTGAATCAACAACCAAAGGTGCTCAGCAGTTTCTCTAGTGCAGGTATAGGAGAGCTTGATAAAAGGTTTCAGTCTCCGAACTAGCCATAAGGGGCACTCACCCTACAAAAGCTTAGATTACTCCCCTTCCCCCCAACTATTCCTCTCCCTAGCGGCATTGGCCAGCTTCAATATTGAGGATTTCTTAACTTTTTTTTTTTTTAATGGATGCTTTCCACAAAATAGTGAAGCTGCACTTGATGACCTAGAGGGCCACATGTGACCTTGAGGTCTTAGTTTCCCCACCCCTGGTGAAGCCTTTCTAAGGATAATGTTTTTAAATATGGAAAATAATAACAGCTAGCATAGTGCCTTAAGATTCATTTGATCCTCACAACAAACCTAGGAAGTAGGCTCTATTATTCTCTCCATTTTATTGATGAGGAAACTAATATAGAAAGAGATTAAGTGACTTGCCCAAGGTCACATAGTCTGAGGCCAGATTTGAACTCAGGTCTTTCTGACTCCAAGTCCACTGCACCACATTAGTTCCCCAACTACAAATTTCGATCATAATGAAGTTATCAAAATATTTTTTTAATTCATTAACCCCAGGTTAAAAACCCCTAATCTAGGAGATAATGTGAAATATTGGTTTTTAAAAAAAACATATTTTAAAAGACAAAAAGATCAATTGATTGATCAGAAAATGAAGAGTTGGATGGATCTGAGGTAACAGAATTGAGAGATTGTTACCTCTGACCCACCCAGCCCTTCATTGTCTGTCATCTTCTCACCCCTGATACCATCTAGACCCCATTCTCTCTTGGCCAAGTGGTCTAGGTTGCTGATATTCACTGGTCCTTCTCTGTTACCTCACAGTCACCCCAGTTTACTAGCTGCTCCCATCCAGATCCTCCCTAGATCCTTCCACACAGTCATCTCAGACTACTTGGCCACTCCTAGATCCCTCCCATGGTCTTTCTGTATATAAGATCCATCTTGGCCTCCATTAAGGTGCTCAAATTCTTAGAATCTTGCCAATGGCTGAGATTCAGCCTGGCCCATGGCTCAGATTCAATCTAGGCTGCTTGTCAATATGAACCTCACAAATGTTCAGATTCCTTAAGAGTCTGGCCAATATGATGGATCTTTAATAAACCTTGTCTTTGGCTGAAAGAAGGCTTGGGTCAAATTCATTCGGGAAGGACCCACATGTCGCTATTTTGGGGTCCCAGCACTCTTAAACCCCTAAACCTCAACATATCCTTTCACAGCCCTGGCCTAGGGGCCTGGTCCTGGTCCCAGCACCCCAAACAGTGGACAGGAAAATCCTCTTGAAGGTAAAGTAAGAAAGAGGAGAAAAAAACAATTCTGAATGCCAGATTTCAAATCTTATTCCCCTCTTCCTATTGTTGGGCTTCTTGTTCTGGATGGAAAAAAAATAAGAGCTCCTTTGGGGAATAGTTGGAAAATAAAGTTGAATTGATGAGAGTAGATTACGAAGTGCTTGAATTTGGCCATTGTAGGTTCTTGAAGAGGGATGGAGAATATAGCTGAACACCTTACATTCCAGCAATGTTTTACGAGTTACAAGAGGCCTTCAAATCAAAATTTCTGATCCTCACAACCTAGATGGGAGGCAAGCAGATGGTATTATACCCATTCATATTGATGGTCTTTTCTTTTTTGCATCTGTTATTTCCTGCTCTTATCCTTCCTCCCCTCCCCCCAGCCCCACAACAGAGCCTTCCCTTGTAACAAATAAATATAATTAAGTAAATAAATAATGTTAAGTAAAACACTGGATATGTTGGAAAACAAATCTTTTATTTTGCACCTCTAATCCATCATTCTCAGTCAAGAGGTTAAGGCAAGTTTTATCATCAGTCCTCCAAAGTCTTGACTGGTCACTGCCTTAATCAGGCCTCTGAAGTCCTTTCCTTTACAAAAGTATATAAATGGTTCTTCTGCTTCATCTTATGTCACTCAGTATTACTTCATACAAGTCTTCCAAAGTTTCTCTAAATTCTTCATATTCATCATTTCTTCTGGTAGAGTAATATTCCATTACATTTGTATGTCACTATTTATTCAGCCAAATATGGAAATAGGTTTTGTACAACTTCTCATGTATAATTGATATCATATTGCTTGCCTTCTCAAAGGGAAAGGGTGGGTAGTAGGGAAAGAATTTGGAATTCAAATTTTTTTTTCAACAAAATTTTTTTTTTTAATTTGTAAATGAAAAATTCTGCTCATTTGAAATGTTTTTACATTCAGATATTCCAGGACACAATTGCAGCGTCTATGTTGCAGTTTACTAATACTTCAATAGATAAAATTTCTTTCCAAAAGGATTAGCCATGAATTTAATGTTGAGGTAGTAATACTAATCCTCAGGGGCTGTAACTCTCTCTTGTAGACAGTGGTGTTTTTGTCAGGAAGTCAAAAAATTTTTAATAAATGTTAAAATTTTTTAATGTAATTGGGAAATATTTAATGAAACAAATAAAAAAATATATATTTAAGATATATTTATCTAGCCATCCCTCAATCAATAGGTGCCTGATTGATTTCTCAATCTTTGATAATCATAGAGAATGTTTCTGGCACCTTACACCTGACCACATAGTAAGTATTTAATACATGTTTGTGTTCAGTCAGCCTATAAATATTTTTGTACACATGGCTCTTTTCTTGCTGTCTTTGTTTTTATTGGGTAAACCCATTTTGTAGAGAAGATAAGGCCCAGAGGGGAAATAACATGTCCAAGATCACAGAGTGAGTTTATGCTAGAGCAGGAGCACAAGGTGCTGCCCTGGCCTCCTATCTCCCAGGCCTGAGCTCTTTCCACTACGTCAGCTGCCTCATGAAAGTCATCCTGGCAGTTGTGCGTGCAGACGGTACAGAACGGATTGCAAAGAATCTGCCAACCTTGGCCTTCCACTCCTGTAAAAGGAGTCAGGCTTAAGGTCCCTGCCAG